GGGGGGGGGGGGGACAGAGAGGCGTGAGGAGACCGGGAGGGTTTGGGGACATGAGGCGGGTTCGGAGGGACGTGAGGGGACCGGGAGGGTTTGGGGACATGAGGGGGGACAGAGCGGCATGGGGGGCACTGGAGGGTCTGGGGACACGGGGGGGACCTGGAGCGCTGAGGGGACAGAGGGACATGGAGGAGGACAGACAGACAAGGGGGGTTTGGGGACAGAGAGACACGGAGGGGACAGGGGGACACGGAGGAGGACAGACAGACAAGGGGGGGACCTGAGGGTTTGGGGACAGAGAGACACGGAGAGGACAGAGGGACACAGAGGGCTCCTGGGGGGAGCTGGTGACAAGGAGGTTCCACCTGGGGACACGGCACCTGGTGCCACCAAAATGTGGGACAGGAGCCAGCGCCACCACCGGGGACCGAAAGCTCTGTTGGAAAAACCCCGTTTTTATCGCTCCCAGGAATCGCTAACGAGCTAAAAAAACACCTTTTAGAGGTTATGCTCCAGGCCCAGCCCCCCTGAAACCCAGAGCCAGTCGTACCCGTGCTTTTGGGGGGAGATGGGGGCTGTTTTGAGGTGAAATCTCTGCTTTTTGGTGGCTTCCAGGCCGAGTCCATGCAGAGTGTAATGGCAGGAGCCTGACCCCTGCTTTTGGAGCTGCGCGTGGATTATTTTTTGGGTGCAATCCCTGCTCTGGGTGGGTTGCAGGCCGAGGCCATGCTGTGCACGGCGCTGGTGATGGCCGGGAGCCTGGCGCTCACCACGGCCGTGGTGGCCCACGCCTACTACCTGAAACACCAGTTCTACCCCACCGTGGTGTACCTCACCAAATCCAGCCCCAGCATGGCCGTGAGTGCTCCTCTCGTTATTAATTAGCCCTCATTAACCCGGGGAACGGGACGGGGCCGCGTCTCACTTCTGCTTTCGGGGTTGCAAACGCCCGCGGTGGGGGTTGAGCTCCCCAAAAACCCCCGGGGACGGGCGGTGGGACAACCCCGGGACCCCCTCCAGCCCTCGGGACGTGAATTTCGGGGTAGCAAATCCCCCCGGGTTGTCCCCAAAATGCCTTTTGGGGGCTCCTGGCCCCGCAGGTTCTGTACATCCAGGCCTTCGTGCTGGTGTTCCTGCTGGGCAAGTTCATGGGCAAGGTTTTCTTCGGGCAGCTGCGCGCGGCCGAGATGGAGGTGAGCGCCTGGGGGGGGCTTTGGGGGGGAATTTGTCACCCCAGAAAGTCTTTGGTGCTGTTTTAGAGGGGAATTTTCGATCCCAAAAAAGTCTTTGTTGCTGTTTGGAGGGATTTGTTGGCATTTTGAGAGGAATTTATGAGCCCAGAAAGTTTTTGGTGCTGTTTTAGGGGGGAATGTTGGACCCCAGGAGAACTTTGGTACTGTTTTGGGGAGAATTCAGACCCCAGAAATTCTCTGCTGCTGTTTGAGGGGGAGAATTGATGCTTTTTGGGGAAGGACTTTGAACCCTGAGAGACTTTCAGTGCCAATTTTGCTGGGGGTTTTGAACCCTGAGAGATCTTGGGGTGTAAATTTTGAACTTCCAGAGTCCTTGGGCCCCGTTTTGGGGTGAATTTTGAGCCCCCAGATTTTTTGGGCCCCATTTTGGGTGGGTTTCACACTCCAGGACACCTCGGGCCCCACGTTGGGGTCCAGCCTGGGGGGTCCTTTGCCTAAATCTGTCCCTCAGCACCTCCTGGAGCGCTCGTGGTACGCGGTGACCGAGACCTGCCTGGCCTTCACCGTCTTCAGGGACGACTTCAGCCCGCGCTTCGTCGCCCTCTTCACCCTCCTCCTCTTCCTCAAGTGCTTCCACTGGCTGGCCGAGGACCGCGTGGATTTTGTGAGTGTTTGGAGTAGGGAGAACAGCTCAAACACGGCCCAAAACCCTCCAAAAATAACCCCAAAATAACACAGAACCTGCCTGAAACCAGCCCAAAAATAACCCAGAGTTAACCCAGAACCTGCCTGAAACCAACCCCAAAATAACCTGAAATCAACCCAAAAACAACCCCAAATTAACCCAGAACCTGCCTGAAACCAGCCCAGAAATAACCCAGAGTTAACCCAGAACCTGCCTGAAACCAGCCCAGAAATAACCCCAAATCAACCCAAAAATACCCCCAAATTAACCCAGAACCTGCCTGAAACCAGCCCAAAAATAACCCAGAACCTGCCTGAAACCAACCCAAAAATAACCCCAAATCAACCCCAAAATAACCTGAAATCAACCCAAAATAACCCCAAAGCAGCTCAAACCAGCCCCAAATCAGCCTAAAATGACCCAAACCCATCCCAAAATCCACCCCAAACCAGCCCAACCCCGATCCCGACCCCGTTTTTAATGGAAAATCTGGATTTTCCCCCCCTGCACAGATGGAGAGGAGCCCCAACATCTCCTGGCTCTTCCACTTCCGAATCGTCTGTGAGTGCTCCTCATTTGCATATTTTTGGGGAAGAGCCCAGGGCAGCCGAGCGTGGTGGGGCCTGATAAGCCGGAATGCTAATCAGCACCGGCTCGTTAACGAGGGGGGGTTAATGAGCTCCGCGGAGGAAAAACAAGGGACCGGAGTAACGGTGAAATGGGGTGGAAAAATGGGATTTTGGGATGGATTTCCCCAAAAATGGGATTTTGGGTTGTATCTCCGAAAAATGGGGTTTTGGGATGTATTTCCCTAAAAATGGGATTTTGGGATGTATTTCCTAAAAATGGGATTTTGGGATGTATTTCCCCAAAAATGGGATTTTGGGATGGATTTCCTAAAAATGGGATTTTGGGATGTATTTCCC